AGAAACATAAGTTACAAGAAAGGAAGAAAATGTTTAATAGGGGCTGATGAACTATTCAGTGTTTTCAGGAAAAGAACAACCCAGGGTCTCTGCTATATAAGTTTTTGCTATTTTTAAGCCTTCTTCTGCAATTTTCAGGCAGCACTAGATTTTTAAATTGCATTACTGTGAACTTTCATTCTTCATGGTGGATACATTAAAGGTAGCCACTATTAAAGTTTCTTTTTGTATATATTTAAAAAGGAAATGAATTGCAACCCTATTAGGGCTGTGTTAACATTCTTTAAGCATATTATTTACACATTTAATTGTAAGCCATCAATATGCAACTTTTGGATTGTTTTTTTTTTTTTTTTCAGCATGAGTAAGTCAGATGGTGTGATTCTAATTACAGTGACATGTACCCTCTTTCTTAAATGCCCAAGGGAAAGAAGCATGATTCCATGATTCCATGTAACAGGAGGCATAAGAGGAATAACTATTCTTTTCTTATTAATAATTTCTATTTCTATATAGGAGATAGATTGAGAAACTCATCTGGAGGTTATAATTTTAAATAGATTAAATGGAGTTATGAAATAGCTTTTCAAGTCTGGACCCTATTGGAGCTCATTCACAGCCAATTTCCATCATAATAGGATCTAAGAAGTGACTGCAAGGGGAAAAAGGGTTGATTCAGCCCTTGACACAATGTGGAATTGTTCTCTCCCTTAATATCTGTAAGGTTTTATCCAACCTGATAAGACACCCAGAACTCATGGTCTCATTATTTTTTAACATGAAAAGCTGTTTCCTAATAGCAGTAATGAGTATGCTATCAAACTTTTTCTTTGACACTAATAAGTAAAAAGAAAGGAGTATTTTGGGAAACTTAGTATGAAGAAAAATTGGCACGGGGGTCCTAGCTATAGGGAGGCAGAACCTGAGGTGTGCACAAATGCCTTTGTTATCACAATACAGTGCTATCTGCTAGAATAAGCATTATTTTAAAAAGGAATTGAGGCAATAATAGAAAACCTGAGTAATCTGAAAATTGGTTTTTATGGTCTGTTAGAAGGATCCTAAACAGGCAGTGGAATTATAAAGATGTGTAGGTGTTCACGAGATTTACCTTTTCAAAAAGACCACTTCTCTTTGAAGAGGAAATAAAATTGAATGAGTCACATTCCCCACTGTGGCTTCTGCAAACCATGACAAGATTTAGATTCATGCCACAAGTTGGCTTGTAATTACCTTGCATTGAAAATTAAGTAATTGTGAAAAATAAACCCCCAGAAAGTAATATGGAAAAATGTCAATGCTTGATACAATGTCTTTCTGCAGGACTTTCAAAATGCCAGTCATGGCCAAGGTAACTGCTCTGAAGATTTTTCTGACCTCATTTAACACTTGCTACTACAACTTCCAGAACATAATATCTTGGTTCGTAAGTTCCTGCTTTCTCATGGATTCAGGTAGCATAGTGTATCAGCTGAGAAATGCTGGTTGTAATAATGCTACAAAGGACCCAGGAAGCAAGTAGGAAGAAAGAGAGAAAAGAAAGATGTGGGCAGAGGCATCAAGAATCACTAACTTTCTACTGTAAACATTTTACTTTAGTATTTATTCATTTATTTGTTTGTTTAATTTTTGAGATTCCAGCAGTCAAATCTAGGGCCTCACACATTCTTTGGAAATGCTATAGTATTAAGCTATATCACCATTCCATAAACATTTAAATGATATTCATCATGGGTTGAGTAATACTTGCAATTTGAGTTTAACATCCTTTGAATACAAGTCTAAGTCTTTGGATTTTACAAAATTTCATAGAAGAGTATATATAGAAATACAGAAACATTTGGAATAAGTGATAAAGTCTATATGAGAACCTCTAAAATTAACCAAGACAGAAGTCTGCAAGATGGCAGAGAAAAAGATCCAAACCTTTGTTTTCCCTAAGAGCAACAGTGATTTAACAATAGTTCACAGCTAGCACCACCACATGCCCCAGGATCCTACCAGACACTAAAACCAATGTCATATTACTCCCCATGCCATCACACTTGCACCCACATAGAGGAAAAGCCATTCTGTACAGTTTGGGGAAGAAGAGTTTCTTAATTGTACAGATGCCAATAAACAATGAGCTATGGGGAATATGAAAAATAAGAAAAACATAGCACCAACAAAGTAGCACATAAATTTCTACCAAGAATCCAAATAGATAAAGACCTAAAAATTGCCTGATGAAGAATTCAAAATAATTATTTCAGAGAAAATCAGCAAGCTGCATCAGAAAAATTACAGATGACTCGATAAAATCTGGAAAAATACATAAATAAAATGGAAAATTCAATTAAAAGAGAAATCATGGAACTAAGGAACAGAATCATGGAACTAAGGAATACAGTGAATGAAATGGAAAATGTAATAAAGAGTTTCAACAGCAGACTTGAAAAAGTTGAAGGAAGAGCTTTTGAACTTAAGGCATTATTATTCAGTCTGAAGAAAACACAATGAAAAATAGTGAAAAAAGTTTATAGAATTCATGGAAACCCATCAAGGGACACAATATACAAATTATGGAATTCTAAAAAGGAGAGAAAAGAAAAAATAGTAGGCAGTTTATTTAAACAAATAATGGCAGAAAACAGATCTGGGAAAGGAGAGAGACACTGAGTATTGGAGAAGCCTAGGAAATTCCAATTAGATTGAACAAAAAAGAAAAGTCTACTTTGATACAAATTAAAATTTATGTAAACATAGAGGTAACCGAAAAAGTTGAGGCTTTAAAAGATACACAAAAGATAAAAAGTAAAGAATCAAAACAAGAATCATTACAATTATCATACCCAAGTCATACAATAAGAGAGAAAGAGGCAATCAATGAAAAGCAGAGAAAAATCAATAAATAAAATACTAATAATAAATACTTTCCTGTCAATAATTACTTTTGATGTAAATGAATTGAATTTGTCAAATAGAAGTTATAGAATAGCTAAATAGACTTTTTAAAAGAAACAGCAATATACCATCTGCAAGAGATTCACTTTAGACTTAAGAACGTGCATAGGCTGACAGTAAAGAGTTGGAAAAAGGTATTTCATGCAGATGATAACCAAATGAAAGTAAGTTGGCTATACTTATATCTGCAAAAAATAGATTTTAACTCAAAACCATATCCAGAGAATGATATCATTATATAATAATAAAAGAGCCAACTCACAGGAAGGTATATGAACTATAAATATATGCATAACACACATCAGGCCATCTAAATACATAAAGTAATTTTGGACACAGCTGAAGTGAGAAATTTATAGGAATACAATAATATCATAATATTTATATATCCCATTTTAAATAATGAATAAAATATCCAGATCAAAAATAGTAAAGACACAGCTTTCTAAAACAATTTGATAATCCAAATGATGTTAACAGACATATTCAAAGTTTTTAACCAAACAGCAGAATAAATACTATTTTCAAGAGCACACAGAACATTCTCCATAGCTCAAAAAGTACACAACAAGTGTGAGGAAAACAGATGTCATTTTTAGTACTTCTTCTTACCATGGTGGAATGAAACCCAAAACCAATAACAGTAAGAAAATAGAAACATTCACAAATACATAGAAACTAAATAGCCCACTCTAAAATATTTCTTGGTCAAAAAGGAAATCAAAAGTGCGTTTAGAAAACATCCTGAGACAAATGAAAATGAAAGCTTAACATATCAAAGCTTAGGAGATGCATGAACAATAACAATAAGAGTTAATATTACAGTTATAAATACCCAAATGAAAAATACAAGAGAGTTGATGTAAACAAACTTTACACCTCAAAGAATAAGAAAAAGAAGAAAAAAATAGTCCAAATTTTAGCAGTAGAAAGGAAATAATAAATATAAGAGAAGAAATAATTCAAATACCAATTTAAAATAAAGAGAAAGTATCAACAGGACCTGAGTTTTGTTTAATTAAAAAAGATTTAATTCAAATTTTATATGTTAAAATAAATACCCTTTGCTAGACTAAATAAAAAGGGAGCTAAATCTTTGAATAAATAAAATCAGAAATGAAAGAAGAGATAATATGATTAATGTCTCAGAAATATAAAAGGACCATAAGGAAATATTATGAATAATTTTACATTAATAATTCTGATAACCCAGAAGAAATGGATAAATTCCTAGAAATAGTCAACCTATTAAAAACTGAATCAATAAGAAATACAGAGCCAGAACAGACTAATAACAAATAAAGAGATCAAATCAGTGAAGAAGCTGCTCCAAAAGAAAAGCCCAGGACCTGATGGTTTCAAAGGTAAACTCTACACAAATTTCAGAAAGTCACTTGTAAGGAAAATAAAAAGGGAGACACAGAGACAAGATGCAGAGGAAGGAAAGATTGGCGGAATGGCAGAATGTCCAAGCTGCCAGCTTTATTTATATCTATAGGTCATTGAAGGTCATTGGCATCATTAGTACATACTGTTCATTGTATTACTAGGCAGGTTACAGACTGAGCAACATTATGCTGCTTATTTCTTGAGAGCTTTGTGCCGCTCTCAAGAAAGTCCATTGTATAAAGTCACTGTTATGTGGACAGATATAGGTTCAGTGAAACATTGTGGTTTTCTAGTAAGAGAGTCCCTATATTCCCAGGAGCTGTGTGCCTGAGATGAAGGTTAAAGCTGATAAGACTGTTACACAGACCTTCCTGGTGAAGGACACTGCTATGGCAGCCAGGCATCCTGTGTCTTTACACAGAACTTTCCCAGAGGCCAGGCCTTCTGTGCCTTTGCACAGAAACTGCCTAACCACCAAGCATGCCACAATCACCAAGTTTATTAGAGACCCTAATCCCGAACACAGAACCCCTACAGTCACTAATACCAATATGTCTTAAATTTTTATAAAATTAAAAGTGAGGACACTGCTAAACTTATTTTATAACGTCAGCATCACCTGATACCAAAGGTAGCCAGAGACTCCACAGCAAATGAAAGTACAGGATGATTACCTTCTCCTCCTATTCGGCACCATGAAAGAATCTTAGACATTTTAAATCATATAGATAAAGGGACATTGAAAGTGTAGAAAGTAAAACTTCTGCTAAGGACCCAAGAATTAGTGTGATAATGTGGTGCTGAGACCCTTGATCTTTGTCTTACATGTGCCAGAAGCAAAGATGTTGAAGGAGGCAACTTGAAAACACCAATAGACAGAAAGGAAACGACCAACAAAGTTGTTCCTCTAGTCAAAGAGCCAGCAAAGAGACATCCTGATAAGGCAAAAAACCTTTCAGATAACAATGACTCTACTGCATCCAAACACTACAAAAATTTTTCAAAAGAAGAAGAAAAAGTGTTCTTCCTCTCCCCGACCCTTCCCAGCAAAAACTGAGCAGAGAGACTACATGTCCTCACTTGCTAGCTATAGCACCTCAAGTGCCCTGAAGATGAGCACATGGCATCAGAGAAGGTTGAGAGGAGAGGGAGGATTTTGATCCTCACTAGTTGCTAACAAGTTTTCCCTTCTTACATGTCTCTTCTCACCTTCCCATCCGCTCACTCCGTCTCTGCCTTGCACTGCCAGTGAAGTCCATGAGAAAGTCTGGCTTTATCCCATCATCTGACAATAGTGAAACTTGCCTTTCTCTCCTGGTTGAAACCTGGTTAAAAGACAGATAACACAGAACATTGAGGGAAGATCCAAGGTCTCATAATATAATACTCAAAAGGTATAAGTTTTAATAGAAAGTCACTCATGCTATCAAAAAACTAGGAAAACTTGAACTTGATTTAAAAATAAATCAATAAAACGCCCAACTGAGGTGTCAAACATGACAGCATTATCTGTGAAAGCTTCTAAAATAGTTATTCAAAATCACTTCAACTGTCAGTCACAAACATGCTAGAGAATAAATGAAAAAAATTAAAAAGGTGAGAGTCTCAGCAAATGACATAGAAAGTTCCTGGGGGGAAAAAGTAAACATACAGAAAAAAAAATGAAAATTTTAGAACAGAAAAGTACAATAACTGAAATCAAAGTGCAAAAATATTTTAAGAAAATAACAGAAGAAACATAGTAAAGAATCAGTGAACCTGAAGACAGAACAATAGTAATTATACAATCTGAAAAACAGAGAAAACATAGATTAAAAAAACGCTTTAGAAACCTGTAACATTATAGTAAATGGTCTAACTGATGACATTGGAGTCTTGGAAAACAAGAAAGAAAATGTGATTTGAATATTATTCTGAGAGATAACAGCTAAAATCTCCCAAATTTGGCAAAGGAAAAACTAAGATATTTAAATGCTAAGTAAAACACAAATAGAATACCTCTCCCACATACAAATTTCCACCAACACACAAAATAGTCAAACTTCTGAAAACTAAAGAGGAAACAGAAAAAAGAATTTGAAAACAGCTAGAAAAATGCCACCAAATCTGTAAAGGAGAGCAACAAATTGAGTGACAGACATTTTCTCATTAGAAAACATTAAGGTAAAAAGGAAAGGCATGGCACTTTTCAATTGCTTAGAAAACAGTATATCCAATAAAAATATATTTCAGGAATGTTGTGGTTTAGATATTACGTGTCCCCCCAAAATGAGATAATGCAAGAATGTTCAGAGGTGAAATTATTAGATTATGAGAGTTGTAACCTAATCAGTGGATAAATTCACTGATATGAATTAACTGGGTGATAACTGGATGCAGGTAAGGAGCAGATGGAGGAACTAGGTCATTAGAGGCATGCCCTTTGGATTTATACTTTGCCCCTGATAAGAGAAGCTGTCCCTCTCTCTGCTTACTGATTGCTGTGTCCTGTGATGCTTTCCTCTGTAACACACTTTCACCATGATTTTCTGTCTCAACTTTGGCCCAGAGTTATAGAGTAGGCAGACCATGAATTGACCTCTAAAACTATGAGCCAAAGTAAAATTTTCTTCCTTTCAGTTGTTGTCAGGTCTTTTGGTCACAGCATCAAAAAAAAGCTGACTAAAACAGAAATTGATACTAAGAAGCGGGGTCACTGCCGTAACTAACCTGACTATATGGTTCAGAAGTTTTGGGAGCTTTTTGAAGTTTGCGGGAAGAATTTTGAAGTGTAGAGTTCAGGCTGGAAAAGCTTTAGAATGTTCTAAGTGAAGTTTACTGAACAATTTTGGAGGGGGGCCAGAATACCAGAAGGCTGATAGGATACCAGAGAGTAAAGATTGAGCTTACGTAGTTTCTGACAAGAAGGTAGACCCTATTGGAAGTTGGACTAGAGGCCATTCATGTTACATTCTGGCAAAGGATTTATTTAGTTTGTCCATGCTCTGAGATTTTATGTGAGGCTGAATTAAAAAGTGATGAACTAATTAATCTTGCCGAGGAATTTCAGGGTCGTACAGCATTCAAGTGGTGCCATGGATATTGCTGTCAGCTTTTAGCCAAGTTTATTGTGACAACCAGGAGTAGAAAGAAAATCACAAATATTTGAAAAACTTGCAGTTTGTCCAGAAAACAGTGAGTAAACCTGGGACTGAGGATGGTGTGGTTGTTAAAGGAATTATACCCACAAAACAAATGCTAAGTACTTTACCCAGAAACAATAAGAAAGATAACTTGAAGGTATCTCAGAAATTGGGAAGATCACACTCATCTCAGGTTCAAGGATGTTAAGGTAAAAATTTCCTTTGAGAAGAGACAATGGGAGTATCCTGCTTGCACAGGGGAACTTAGGAAGATGTTTCATTGTGCTCAGCCACCTAGGCACTCAGAGGCCACTGCAGCCCAGCCTTGGTCCTTCCAAACTACCTTGTCAACCATGTGATGCTAGTTCTGCTGGAATGTAGGATGCTGGAGTTAGGGATCATGGGTAGCATGGTTACAATACCAGCAGTCAGCCTCTGAGAAGGTGATGCATAAAGATGTGAGAAAGAAGTCAAAGTTGCAGTAGAGACCCTTGAGATTAAGTGATGTGAATAATGTGGAGTATCTGCCAAGTTGCAAGAATTGAGCAAAGACAGGCCAAGAGGGAGGCCATATGGACTGTGACCAGCAAGAATATATATCAGAATTAATCATATCTTAGGCATAGAACACAGTTAAACAAGCTTAAAGCTAGTGAAATCATGTAGTGTGCAATCCCTAGTCACAATGGAGTCCAACCATAGCAGAAAGACAGAGATATTTCCAAACAATGGAAATGAAAACAAAAACTTCTAAGTATTTTATGAGTAAATAAAAAAGACTCAACAGAAATTATAAAATAAAAACAAAAACAAAAAATTACAAGTTAAATAAAAGCAGGACCTATCAAAATTTTTGTGATAGCCAAAAATTGAGAAATTTACAATACAAAACATGTAGAGTAGAAAAGAAGAAAAGTCAAAATTCAACAATTTAAATATGTGCCTCAAAACAAAGAAGAGCAAAAATAAACTCCAAACCAGAAGAATAAATGAAACAATAAAGAGAAATGTAGGCATCAATGAAATTTTAAAAAACAGAGAAAATCAACTAAAAATAGTTTTTCTATAAAGACTTTAAAAATTAGCATAATTATAAGACTTAGAAAAAAAAAGAAAAGCAATAATATCAGAAACAATATATACAATGAAAATAAAGTCAATGATATCAGGAATTAAACAGAGAAATATCTATAGATATCAAAAGATAATGAGATAATATTATGAACAAGTTTAAAGACATTTAATAATTTACTTGAAGTGGACTGATTTCTTAAAAAATATAAACAGATAAGTTGAAGATAAATAGATAATTTGAAAATTGCTATAGCTACTAAAAATTTTAATACTTACTTAATAAACTCCCCAAAATATAATTTAAATGACTAGATAATTTAAATAATCACTTTGAATATAAGTGGATCAAATTTTCAAATCAAAGGACATAAATTGGCTAAATGGATAAAAATAAAACACAACCATATTTTGCCCACATTTCACTTTTAAACACACACACACACACACAAACACACATACACACACACACACACACACACATACGACTGAATGTGTAGAGGTAGAAAAGATATTTCTTACAAATGGAAACCAAGAGAGCAGAAGTAGCAAAACTTATACAAGATAAAATAAAATAGATTTATTAAGAGGAAGAGGAAGAAGGAGATAAAGTTAAAGCTGATGAAGGAATTAATTTAGCCAAGGATATATATTCACCCAACCTGAGAGCACCTACGTATATTAAGCAAATGATAGCTCTAAAGGGTGAGCTGGAATGAATTATGATAATAGCGTGGCTCCAACATTCACTTCCAGCATGGACAGATGGTCCAGACAGAAAACCAATAAGAAAACATCATATTTGAACTATAATCCATTTCTATTCAACAGAAATTTACTCAATGTTGTATTTAAATGAGAACTGAACAGACATTTTTCTCAACTAAACATGGATCATTCTCCAGGATACATTATGTATCTGGCTACAAAATAAGTTTTAACACCTTTAAGGAGGTTGAAATCATATCAAGTTGCTTTCAGATAAAAGCTAGAAGTCATGAACAGGAGGAACTTTAGAAAATTCACAAATAGATGGAAATTAAACAAGATGATCTTCCTAGGTGTGGTGGTATACTTGGGAGCCCAAGGCAAGAACCTCACTTGATGTCAGGAGTTTGAGACCAGCTTGAGCCACATATGGTTACTCTCATCCCCAAAAGAGAAAGGCATAAAACCACAAAACCAACCAACCAACCAACCAAAAAAAACCAAAAAACAACAAACAGATAAAACACATGTTCGTGAAGAACGAATGAATCTATTAAAATATGAGCAATTAAAAATTTATTGAGATTAACAACAGTGGAAATACAATGTACCAAAGCAAAAGTTCTAACAGGGTAGTTTGTAGCAATAAAAGCCTATATCAAAAGAGAAAAAAAAGATCTCAAATCCACAACCTAATGTAACCTAAGGAACTAGGAAACCACAATAACAATAACAAAAAAGAGCAGACTAACTCTACAATTAGTGGAACAAAATATCAGAGTAGAAATAAATGAAACAGAGACTGGAAAAATAATAGAAAAGTTGAAAAAAGAGGTTTGAAAATACAAGCAAAATTGATAAACTTCTATCTAGAATGAGAAAAGGAAAGAATACAAAATCAGAAATTGAAAAGAAGCCGTTACAGCTGAGGCCATAAAAATACAAAGGCTCATAAGACACTATTATGAACAATAGATTCACCAAAAACTGCATAACTGAGAAGAAATAGATAAATTCCAAACTGCATATTACCTACTAAGATTCAGTTAAGAAGAAATAGAACATCTGGACAGATCAATAATGAGATAATAGATTTAGTAGATCATAAAAAGTCTCTCATCAAAGAGAATTCCAGGACCCAATGGCTTTACTACTGAATTCTACCAATCATTTAAAAAATTAATACTAGTTCTTCTCCAGCTCTTCAAAAAAAAAAAAAAAAACTGAAGAAGAGGGAATACTTTCAAATTTATCTTGGTCAAATTTATCTCATGAGATGTCAAAGTCAGACAAGGACATAATAAAAAAAAAAAAGAAAGAAAACTACAGGCTCACATCCCTGATGAACACAGTTACAATAATCCTCAACAAAAACCAAATTCAATATTACATCATGTTACTTATCATGATCAAGTGACATTCAT